GTTCTTAGCGAGTTCAACGAGCTTCTTCGGCAAGCTCCGATCTTTCTCGGCGAGCTCCGCGAACTCCCAACGAACCTTCCGGCGAGCTTCCGAAAAACCCTTCGGCAAGCTCCCAACTCATTCTCGGCTAGTTCCGGTAGCATTCCCGACGAACATTCGGACTTCCGTCGAACTCTCGAACTCGCAACAAATCCTTCGCGCTTGACTCCGACACTTTGTTTCGCTTTATGTCTTCATCGTTATCATAGTTAATCCTACACAATTAAAACAAAACTTCGATCGAGACAATTAATCCTAAGCAATTAACCAAGTTGTCCGGCATGTCATTGGTCCCTCGACGCTTCGTCTGATTCTTCGGCGCATCGTTCTCTCCTGCGGCCTATTGCCCAATCGGCCAGTTGACTCCGCAACTCCGATATCTTTGGCACAATAACCGCTCTTCTTGGCCCGATGCCCGAGTCCACGGCCCGAAACCTTCTGTCGATACGTCGACCGATCCATCGGCCCGACGTCCAATCTTCTGACATGTTTCTCCGGTACAACATGATGTTCCTGCTTTAATTGTCTCATCCTGATCAAAGCATCCTGCGTCACTCAAAACGCAGATTAAATCATAAACATATATCAAGTAGTTTCATCATCAAAATACGAGATTCAACAGACATCTTAGCCCCTATGATAAATACTACAAGACCAAGCAAGAGCCGATGACAACAGGCTTCATTGTTGAGATCAAGCAGCCTGGGATAGCAGCTCATGCGAGGGCAACTCCTAAAGGCTTTTATTCTGGTGCAGATATTTCAGTGTGGCACATGATCAATCTTTACAACCTGGACATGATGCGACTCACTGTTGCTTCTATAGTTCCATGTGGCTCGTCGGTTGGCATGTAGACATCATCAGCAAACTGCAAAAAGAATGGAAAGAAGTCAGGAACTTGTCTTTAGTCAACATGATGTCGAGTTGAGCAAATCATAAGAAAAATGGTTTAACGTTCTGACTAAAACATTTTGGTACTGAGGAATTGTATCCAATAAATTGAAGCATTCATGAAAATAATTTACTTCCTGATCTTTGTAGTGTAGCACAATAACTGTTAAATATGAGGAATTGCTTCAAATTTCATTACAGAATTGGTGTTGCAACCCACCTTTACCATGTTTGGGTTATCTTTGCTTGATAAGTTGACTGGTAAGAAATGGAGGTTTGGCATTCTAAGCTTAACTGATGCTATATCAGGGAACCTGAAAACATACCAAGTAAAAGTTTAATATAGCAGTAACGCAACTAAAATCGACCTCCAGAGTGAGTGAAAAGAAGTTAATAAACAAGAGACCAACCTGTTAAGAACAGCTTTTGCCATGAGGTACAGTGTGTTCTGAACCGATGGACTGTAAACACCCTCAAGTGGTGAACCAAAGAAGGTGTCTGCTAGAACTTTCTTGACATCCAGATGCCTTTGTGTGAAACAAAATGGCTTGGCAGGAATATCAGATACGTCAGCAAATGGGTACCTGTATAAAAGACAAAAGGGCGAAAAAATATGACACCTTTCAAAGCCATCTACGTCTTCTCTAGATTTTAGTGACCCACACCATTTATGTGTTGCTCTGTTTACATCCTAGGAGATAAATCAATAGATCTTAACAGAAACACTTCCCTGCCCTTGCCAAAGTTTTTTTTCTATTTTCTTTGTAACATATATAGCTAAATTGGATGTCCAAGAGTTAATAATATAATATAGATCCAAGGTAATCCAGAAGAAATAGGATAAGACCTCCAAGCAGCAGTGACTTCAGTTGCTACCATCCTCTCCCTTGTCTCTGGAAGAAGCGTAAAGTGATCCCTTACAAATCCTTCAAACCCTGACTGCAAGAAAACAGGAACATTGTTTTTTTTGTATCCTTTTAGTATGCACCTCTGATATTTTACATAAACATACTAGATACCGTTCATCCATATAAGATTATCTTTTATTCAATGATATCTAAATGAAACTTAGGTAAATGTAAATGTGCTCTTCCACACACATACTATTATAATGGGAAGGTAAAATTTATGCCCTCCAGTGTACAGGCATGAAGCCCTCTTCCAAAATAGTATAAATGTGAATAGAAGGGTTCTCATGCTCAGTGAATCACTGTTCCAAAATAGTAAGCTTCTTCCTGAACCACGTTTCGAAGATACCTAAATGTCTCCTGTCTCCACTTGGCAAGTTTATGTATCCTAGATCTACTAGGATCACAATTTTGGATTTAGGAGCCACTCTCTTCAAGAAAGCAAACAGAAAATTACAGTAATGAAAAATTGCAAATACTTGATGAAAAATGCCTTTGAAAAGATATCTAACTAAATAGAGGTTAGAATTATTCAGACATATTGCCAATCAAGTCTTTATCAACAAAGTGAACAGAATGGAAAAGTAGGAGTACCTGAGAGATGTTCCTCTGTACTAATGATCTGACAGAAACTGCAAACACTCTATTCACTTAATTTGGAACTCAGGTAATGAAACGATTCGAGCTATCGAAACCTAAGACCAGTGGCCTTCCATGCCACCTTGAAGCTCAAATTGCATAAAGTCAAGGAATAGCTAAACTATAGCATAAAGTGATGCACTACTAAAAGAGGAGGCTGAGATGTAAAACCTGATGAAGTGTCTTAAATTTGATGGATCAAGGACTAACCCCAGACCTAGAGATCATGCCGAAGTCAGATGGTTGGTTGAGGTGCCGGAATTTCACTGGATACTAATTAAAGTTATTTTATGTATAAGCAAATCTCATCCATACAGGTTCCTTGTTTTTGCTACCTTCAGTGCAAAAACTTTAGATTCTTCTAAAATTTAATTCATCGTTGGCACCTGTTGGCCAACAGAGTTGGTTGGTGGGGAAGAGAGATGGAAGGGCAGGAGGGTAAAATTAAGGCCACCCTTTATGGTTTAATTGGAGCAACAATACCTAATCAGTCATTTATGTCCCTCCTCTTCCAACATACAACAAAAACAAAGAAGAAAGAGGTTGTCTTGCAAGCAGATTGGGTGTCTTCTTTCAGATGCTAAGACAGAGGTATTTAGTTGCAGTTTCCACTTACTAGTGAGCTTCATTGTCAGCAACATGATTTAAAAACCAATCAAAAGGACAAGTCCAAGAATCGCTCAGAAGAAAGCTTGAAACAAGACAATTAGTCATAAAAAACCAAAGGCTAGAAGTACACAATTAAGAAAATACCTGTGTTGTTTTCAACAGAGCTAGTCCCTCAATTCCAGAAGTTACACTCAAAGTGCCATATTTTTCAACTCTAACTTCTGTTGTATGCTTCTCAGAACCAAGTTTAAATCCTAAGAGCAACAAAATAAGAAATATAAAGAATCATATGGATGGTATTGGCAACAGGAATCATCTCCATGAAGAAGGAAATTATTAGGAAAATATGAGCCTGATACCATGCCCATATGAATTCTGCCATCTCACTTTAATGAGTACACTAGAAATCAAATATTATATATCAAGGATATTTGCAGAACATCAAAACATTGGTAGCAGGTCTCTGATAGGCATAAAATTCCTTAAACTCCACACCCTTTCTTATGGTCATCCTAAACATAATCATGCAAGAACACAACTTAATTTTGATATGTTCACTTTGTTCAACTTCAAACTTTCTGCAAGAAACTATTTCTTCTATCTCTAGCAAAATAGAGAAGCTGAAAAGCATATGATACAGTAAATAAACAGAGTTCAAAAATTGGGGACAACACCAAGAGAAGCGGAGAGTCCAAACAAATAAGAATTCGTCTAGATAAGAAGGCAAACCATGCGAATGGGGTTGGCCGTCGACAGCGACCCGCTCCCAAGGCTTCTCAACTATATTGATCACGGCGGCCGTCACCTACAAGGATCAACCCCAAAGCTCACTCTTCTTTCCCCAGAAAAATCCGCAGCACAAGAAATCGAATCGGGAATCGTAGGAGGAAACACCATTTACCTGAGGATAGTACGAGGTGAAGTGCCTCCCGAGAAGAACCGCGAAGCTTTCCATCGACATGACCTCCGTGCACTCCTTCGCCTTCGCATATACCTATCAAACATTCCCCCCAAAGAAAAAGGAAGAGATTTGGAATCTCACCGATGGGGCACTCGGATTCGACACCAAGAAAAAGGAGGTCCAATCTCACAGTATTCTTCATGGAATCGGTGGCGACGATGGCGGAGTTGTCAGCGGAGGTGTAGGCGGGGAGACAGTCGGAGAAGAGGCTGACGCCGACGTTCCACTCGACGATCACGTGGCCGGAGCCGGCGACCCTCCTCCAGACCCTGGCGACCCGGACCCTGCTCTTCCCGTGATTCTGCTCGATCTTGAACCCTTCCGCCATGGTCCTGTGTTTCCTCGACGACCGACCTACCTCCCCAACCCCCCACAGCGCCGCCGCACCTCTCAACTTATGGAGCGAGATGACGACCGCACCATCCCATAGGGCCTCTTCATGCGGACAACGAGATCAACCGTCCATTTTCCTGATGGAAGTGTTTTATGTTTGTTTTCTGTTGTTGTTACGTACGAGTGGGGGTTGGTAAGGATGCAGCTCAAAGAGATCCGTAAGCAAGGAAAAAGTCATGGTGCTTCTTCTTCGTTAAGAGAGAGAGAGAGAGAGAGAGAGACAGCGGTCGGTGCTATGATTCCAAGGCCGCCCATGGATTTGCTCCACAATTACTGTGGCTTGTTTTGTTGCCATCTTGTTGATGCTCTTATTTTTCGTTAACGAAAACGTTGTCTGTGGTGGTAGCTGACGTTAATGAAAGGTGTCCCACAACTTGAGAACACCTTCATGTGATGGAAATGTGTCGGTCACCAACTCACAAAAAGTTAATGAACATGTTCTCTTACCAATTATCTTTTAGATCACGTGCACGTGAATTTGCATGTGATAATTATTATTTATCTAAAGCAGATAAAATAATTTTCATGATAATTTTATGTCAATTAATTTTTCATATTTAAATTTAATTTTGGTGTATATTTGATCCTATAATATCTTGATTTAGTTCAACAGTGAATTGACTTATAACGACTGTAGTACAATTAATTTATTATTAAGAATTTTAAGTTAATAAATAATTATATTATCTGAAGTATGAAAGGGCTAATTATATATTACCTTCTATAATTAGACCCTCTTAATATTATTATGATATTTTAGATTTAAAAAATTTATATTAAAATTTCTATAGTTTTGAAAGTGAAACATCTAACTTTATTTACCATAATATCATCAATTTTATCCATGGAAGCATGAAAACGACGGGCAAAAAAATAATTTCAATGTCTCAGTTACATTTTTCGGTGGTGTCGGATGACAACGCTAATAAGGGCCATGCATGATTGTTATGAATGAGGAGGGAAAGTGACGAGTAGAGATGAGGCACGTAGAAAGGAGGAAGAGGACGATGTAGATGTCGACGCTGTGCATCTGCATCGACGTCGCTTGACATCTACATCGGTACTGCTCGATAATTGTGTCGACGCCAATGCAGATGCAAAGCGATGAAAGCCACTCGAAGCAAATGAAGAGGAGGAAGAGGACAATGCAGATGTCGACGTTGTGCATCTACATCGGTGCTAACATAGATGTAGAGCGACGTCGCTCTACGTCTGCATTTGCATCAGTGCTTGTAGATGCTAAGTGACACTCTGCATCTGCATCTGTGTCGATGCTGATGCAAATGTTGAACGGTCCTTTTGTCGCTTTACATTTACGTCAGTGACGATATAGTTGTCAAGCAGTATTAATGCATATACATAACATTGGTATATGTGTCTTCCTCTCTCCTCTCTCCTCTATGTTTATCTCATATCTTATCGTCACTTTCTCTCCTTGTCTATAATAGCTATCCATGGCCCCCAATAACGTCATTGTCCGTCATCACAAAAAAAACATAATTAGAATATTGAAATTACCTTTTTGCTTATCATTTTCATGCTTCCATCGGTAAAATTGATAGCGTTCAGGTAAATAAAGTTAGATGTTTTGCTTTCATAACTCTAGGGATTTCATTGTAAATTTTTTAAATCTAAAAATCGAGATGCTAAAAAGGTCTAACTACATATGTAATTAGTCTTATGAAAGGACTAGCTATAATATGGAATCACAAGTTAATGACTTTGTTACCGATGGTAAGTCGATTGTTAGCTATAACTCTAATTTATGTTAATACACTTCGAAACTATTTATGATGCTATAATTATTAAGAATATTTTAGTTATCTTATATTTGTGGATACTTCTGTAATTTAAATGAATTAATAATAACCATGGTTAGATATGATTAACCAAAATGTTAACCACATTAGTATGTGGAGACTCTTCGTCTGCTAATTTTTTACATAAGCTTATCGAATAGTGACAAAAATAATATTTACTCGGTAAAGATTAGCCAAAAATAAGTTTAAAGATATGACTTGGTCTTTAACAAAGATAAAATAATAGATATTGTATAACTCCTATATAATGTGTTTGTAAATTGATGAAAATTTCTTTTAGTTAATTAGTGATATGGAAATGGCAATTGATAGGGGTGGCAAAGAAAAAAACTTTTGATCTTCATCGCTCAAAATATCTGTTTGATCTTCATTCTCAACACGATTGAATTTTGATGGATATGACGGATTATAAACAAGTTAATTGTATTAATACAATATTTGAGATTAATTAAGCAAAAAATGACCACAAATGATATATAATCGAGCTCATCTCGGCTTGTTGTAGTCTAACTCAACCTACTAATTATTTGCGCCAAATATAAGTTAAGAAATCAGAGTTAAGAATATATGTCCTGATCTTAGTAGGGCGAATCAATATAAGTTTTTTTTTCTTTTTAAACAAATGATGGTCTCAATATCTTGCTATCAATAGCTAATTTTTATAGCTAAGTTAGCTCATATATCTGAAAATATATCGAATGAGATTTTAAACCATTATCCCTTGCTAAATGAATTTGAGAGCTTTAGATCAATCTTATATACCCTTATCATCTCATTTCCATCTAACCTGAACCCATCTACTTCTTACCCTTATCTTACCAATATTTTATTGGTAGGATCTCAAGAAAAATTCCCTGCAAAGAGGCATGATATGATCCCTAATCTCCCTCCTATCAACTCAAAATCAATCTTTTAGCTTCTACAATCAAGATCAGTAACATCAAATATTGGTCTAAGATAATTTCAACTTATCCAAATATTGAACATGGTATACATAGATGTAGAGTTACTATATCTTCTACCTTTTCCCCTTGGTATCATTATCACTGTTGATTTGAATGCAACATTTCATATTTCATAGATGTGAAAGAAGACAATCCAAAACAATTTGATTCAGCATAAGTGAGTCGTATCTTTGGTTACATGCAAGAAGTCTTTTACAGAATGTGTTGACAAGACCTTGAGTTTTCCTTGGTTTTTTTGTCAAAATATGATCACATAGTGATGTATCAAATCCACTTATTAAAGATCAATAGTTTAAAATATAATTTGATAAATTTTATATCTAAAAGATTAGTTTGATGATAATATACTAAACACACTTTTCGATAAAATAAGAGTTTAAAGTCTTACACATAAGATATTCATGTGATAGTGATGTACCATATCCACTTATCATAGATTAATGATTTGATTTTGATTTGAACATATCAAATAGTCTAATAATAGATAATAAATTCTGGTATCAAATTCCATCATCATTGTTTACCTTAGCACAAAGTAATCTATGATGAGAGAGATTGTCAGATCTGTGCATCCTCATTCAGTCTGCAATCTTCCAAAACACTAACTATTGTTTCAATGATCATTCATTAAAAACAAAATAAAAGATTAGTTCAGATTCACAAGCACAGTTTGATTCTTTGTTGTGTCTGCGATCCTCTAAAAAACTAATTGGTCTTCATAGAGCAGTGTTGGCTCAAGGAAAAAAGCTTAAGGATGTGTCTTTTTCTGGTGCCACTGGCATTTCTTCTTTGCCCAGATCATGAGAAGTCACACTGCATTCAACACAATCTACTCCACCTAAATCATTGTCTGACACATGAAAGCCCATTTGGGTCCTTCCACCTTGACAATTCTATGTTTGACAGGTTGTTGTTGGTCAACAATCATGGCCTCCTCTGTTAGAGAATCTGACAAGAACATGCCTTGTTCTGCATGACAAGAATGATCCCCATGTACATGTTGGACCCAGCAATGCAGATCTAACCTTGAACAAGTTCGATTTTTCTTTTTACCTTTGACATGATCCATTTCTAATGATGGATCTTGAATCCATCAAACCTGGTTGCAGTAGAACACCATGATCCTACTTGAGCTGTAATGTGATTCTCATGCAGTTGCTTTGTGTGGATGTACAGACATCAGATGAAGAACAGAAGCGACACAGCCAGATTAAGAGTTGGCATGTGAGAGGTTGAATGATTTCAATGTATTGTGGAGTTGGAGCATCACAGATCTAAAATGCTTGCAGATTGATACAAGGTACCACAAAGAAGTTCATTTTCTCTTTTGTATCTACACCATGTTCAAAGAAGACAATTGGACTATGACAAAACCAAACAGAACAATGACAAAACCTATCTGCTAAAATAATTTGGAACAAGAGCAAGCAAATGAGATACTGAGTTTATTCGCCAGCCATCAGCAGATGTGGAAGATGCGAATACCGCAGGCCGGGGTGGGGGATACTAAGTTTAAGAAGATTTACTGTAAGAAGTAGACACGAGCAAGTGAGTGAGCGACATGCTAGGTTTGTTCACCGGCCATCTGAAGACTTGAATGACTCTGCGAATCCAGCAGGCCTGGCTGGGATGCTTCCTTTACTGTCATTGAGGCTCGCCGAACATACATCTGTAGTGCCATCAGCAGCTTGCCATCCCTTTACCATCTGAAGAAGGGGTTGATGGAAATCGATACCTAAATATTCTTCCTGGTCATCATTTATGGGCATCCATTTCTCGACAAGCGAAGCAAGTACATTTACTGCATGCCCCATCTCAGGCCGCTGGTGAGGCTCTCGTGCCGCACAGTGGGCTGCTAGGTCTGCAATAACAGGAACACCTTCAAAGGTCTCATCTGTGATAGCAATAGATGGATCAATGATGCTCCTTAGCTTCTCCTTGTCGGTTTTCATGTGGCAGAACCAGGATGCCAGGTAATGGCTTTCTTCAGGTCGTTCCTCATCCAGTGCCATCATACCAGTCAATAGCTCCATAAGCACAACTCCGAAACTGAAGACGTCGACTTTAGTTGTAATTTTTCCAGTCACTGATTAAATCACAGTAGAATATTTGGATCAATGCATGCATTTGTTGAATAAAGAGAATGTCGATGAATACTTTGATGAAATAATTACATATCTAAAGTTTAAGTTAAGTATTATATTCAATGGATTTTTCTGAAAAATAATTTGTTGCAAGGAAAGCTAGAATAGGTAAATGCAATTTGTATGTACTGTACTTTCTGAAACAAAGGAAACAAATACATGCAAGAATGAGTGCAAAAAGAAGGAAATGATGAATTAAGAGGCTTGAAAGCCATTAAGTAAATCTTTGAAAGCATCATGATTTTGATAACTACTGTTGCTTTTTATTAATTTAATTCAAACAAATAATAGAAACATTTGGTGGACAAAAATTAATAAGACATATTCTATTCCCATGCAAAATATTGAAATTGATAAAATAAAAGATCAAATTAGATATCTCATAAGATAAGATTAATTAGATATTCAATTCCCAGTACAATATTGAAATTGATAAAACAAGAGATCTAATTAGATTGCTCATAAGATAAAATGATAGAGAAAACATCAAAGCATGGGTAGCACAATTAGGAAAAAGCAACATCAAGCAAAATGTTATAAGAACATCAAGCTAAATGATCTAGAGAACATAATGATTCTTTTAGCACATTTTAGAAGATGTTACCTACATCCTTTCTCCATCATCCTTACCAAATATCATCATTTAAGGCAGACATAATAAACCAATTTCTAATTAAGGAACAAGATCTGTTAAGTTAGTTTAATGTACGACATGTTGATTGCAGCAACCAAACAAATTGACGTTGCAGAGGCCATATAAACATATCACTGAAATTCAATTAAGCATTCAAGACAAAGGAACTGTCATGATTTACTGGAAACAAGATATTTATCATCATAAGTTTGCATACAAAAAGGAAATTATCATAAGCTAATCTCAGGATAAGATCCAAAAGTTCCAGCATTTACCAGCATATTCTGGAGCCAAGTATCCAAATGTCCCAGCAAGTCTAGTTACAACAGATTGTTTCCCATCCGGTGCAAGTTTTACCAGTCCAAAATCTGAAATTTTTGCCCGGTAATCATCTCCTAGTAGTATATTTGAGGACTTGAGGTCTCTGTGAATGAAGGACTGGTGAGCCAAATTATGGAGGTACTCCAGTCCACGGGCAACATCCAATGCAATGTTTAGCCTCTTCTTCCAAGACAAAGGCTCCAACTCCAGCTGCTTCCATTGGAATAGATGCTTGCTCAAAGCTCCCTGTTGCATATACGCATATACTAAAAGTCTCTCGTTGTCTTCTGCAGAATAACCCAGAATAGATACCAAATTACGGTGTCGGACCTTTGAAAGCACTGCAATCTCAGAATGGAACTCATCCAAAGCTTTGTTACTTAGAACAGAAGACTCCATTCTCTTAACTGCTATCATCGTCCCATCATGCAACTCTCCTTTGTATACCACACCAAATCCACCCCGACCAAGCACATTATCAAGGGCAAAGTTTCCTGTTGCACTTCGAAGAACTTGGACTGGTATCGTCAAGTTGCCTGAATCTATGGCATGTGTACTACCTGTACCGCTGCTCGCTATGCTCTGGAATCCACTGGTAGATGTGCTGCTATTGACAACATTTTTAGCCACCAGTTTATGTGGATTGTCTTGATTGGTGGCCTTGCTAGGTTGCGTTGTGGTGGAGTTTGGTGCCACAAATACATTAGTTTTACTCTTCCAGCAGAAGAACAAAAGTAGAATAGCAACGAACACAACTGAAGCTCCAACTACGGTTGGAACTACAATAACCAGAATATTTAGCTTCCTGGAACTTTTTGTGCCATTACCTGAAGAGGATGGTTGGTTAGGAGGGGTAGGTGAGTCAGTTGATGGGGGACTAACACCAGGAAGGCCAACACCAGGAGGGGATCCCGGTGAAGGAGGATTCTGCAACAACTTATTCCCATCAAGTAGGACTTTCACACTAGTAGGAAATCGTGGAACAGGAGGTGAGATATTATTGAAAGAAAGGTTCAACATTTTTAAAGATTTCAAGCTCGACATGTTATCAGGAATTGGGCCAGCAAGATTGTTACCACCAAGCAACACATACACAAGAGAATCCAACGCACCCAGAGATTCGCTGATCGTGCCATTTAATTGATAGTTCGGCAGATTTATAACAGAAACGTTGTTGTTTGAGCAGGAAATACCAAGCCATGAACTAGTGCAAGGATCATTGCCAAACCAAGAATCTGAGAGCCTTGTTGGATAGTTCACGTCTTTAAGGAAATCCAAAAGTGCAGTGACTTCTGCTGAGCAAGGCACTCCTGGAGTATTTTGGCAAAACGAATTACCAGCATAGGTGAAGTTACTGATGCTCAATTTTGGAACTGTCCCCACGAGCATATTATCATCTAATCGCAACGACTGAAGCTGTGACATGTTAATCAAACTCTCAGGAACAGGACCGACGAGCCGGTTGTTGTTGAGCCACAGCCGTGTCAACAAACTCAAGGCACTGATCGAATCGGGGATCAGCCCTGAGAACTGATTTTCATGAAGCCAAACGTCATTCAACAATGTCATGTTAGTAATGATCTCGATCGACCCCGTCAACCCTGGACCTTCCTGATTGTTCAGCCATAGAATCTGCAACGGCAAACCTGAGTAACTCACAGGAATCCCCCCGATGAGATTGTTGTAGGACAGCTTTAGAACAGTCAAAGACTTCATGCTTCCCAGAAATTCTGGCAGCGGGCCAACGAGATTACAATGAGATAGTGACAGATTCATCAACTGCGCTGAATGCGCCAAGTCCGGGGGCAAGGTCCATCCAGTACTCTGATTCAGAGGGTTATTCTCCAAAGTTAGAACCTGCAAACTACTGAGGCCGACGAAGAAATCCGTCGGAATGGTGTCGAACTGATTGCCGCCAAGATAGGCATACTGGAGATTGGACAGACCATTGAAAGATGGCAGATTTCCGGTGAATTTGTTCCTCTGAAGACCAATATTGCTGAGCATGGCGAGCTTGTTGAAGTCGTGCGGCAGAGGCCCGCTCAATCCCAAGTCCTGGACCTGAATCTGAGTGACCCGAGAGCCGGAGCAGAAGATGTGAGGCCATTGAGGAGGGCCGCAGGGATCTTTGCTGTTGGTAGGCCATCTGAGCAGCTCCGGGTTGGACAACCCTCTCCGGAATTCATCAAGAACGGCGTAATCTCCGGAGTCCGTGGTGCCCAACACCACCGATACGAGGGAGACAAAGCATAAAAGTGCGATCTTTAACCAACATTTCCACGCCATGCTATGCGTTCCGAGCGGAGATCGAATCGAAAACCATAATCCCAAACGACAGCATAAGAAGGAACGCATCCAAAACAACGAATAAAATTGGGAGAAAAGATCACTCACAGGTCCTGATCTCCGCTCTTACAAATGCTTTAGACCCATTGAAGCCGACCAATTCGGATTTCCCTAATCTCTTTCGCTTTGACACCATCAAAAAGAGGGGCAGAAGGCATCACCCACGTCTCCAAAGCCAAAAGAACCCCAATCCTGGAAGCAAAAGTCGAGGTTTTCGTTGGGTTCCCAGGCCTAAAACCACATCAAAATCCGATCTTTTTCTCCCCCAGAGAATCGTAGCGCATTCATTCAGTACCTAATCCCTCCACACAGGCCGAAACTCGGGTCCTGAGATCAGAGAAGGTAGGAAGGCATTCATGGAGCATACCACATTTAGATTTGGTCCAAACAGGAAACAACCAGAGGAGACGGAGAAGCTGCTATTTTTACCATAAAAATCTTTCTTTTCGGCATTCCTTTTCCCCTTCCAACAGTAATTATTGTACTTGTTTTCCTTTTTCACGTTGTTCGAATCAATTTAAGCCGTCACGAATCACGAGAAACCCCCTGTCGACCATCCACTTCAAATCAAGATTAGGAGAAGTTGCTTGGAGATTGGGAAGGATATAAATCATCTGATTAGTTGCCATTTGGGAACAGAGGGCGTGGAAGCTGTAAGACTAACAGTGACAGCATCTAGTGGACCAAATGTTCATGATGAGTCACTGCTTGCCTTATGATGACAAAGCTGGTGGGGAGAGAGTGCTCATGATTTATGATGAAATCATTAATGTTCATTGTTCTTCTACTTTTTTCACATTACAGGCCATACTTTATTGTCTTTAATTTGGATCATTTTGTTGGTGATTTAACCTTTTTTCTAGTAAATGATTAATATTATTATTGATGAGGTAAGATTTTACACGTTTTTTATATGCTTATTGAAGATAAGTATATTAATATCATTCAAAATTAGAAGCCATTAAAACTAGTCATCATAAATATATAAGACAGTTAAAATCGTGTGGACCGATCGGTTGACGGCCTGAGACGCTTCAACGGCCTCCACTTGACCTGTGCACATCGGCTGGTCAACGAAAACAGCGTATTGCAAAGAGAACCAGTGCATGTGCGACACGTACCATAAATATTTGCGGAACCACCGGCTTCATCGACGTGAAGAAGCGCAAAACATGAGTGAAGAGCTCAACAGCAAATCCTGCGTACATCCAAATCCACGTGTCTTGATGTCCGACCGGATCCGCCGCCGCACTGTCCTCAACAGTAATCGCCATTCCAAGCCGAGCTGGCAGTTCATTATTAGATGGCATCCTCAACAGCAATCGCCATTCCAAGCTGAGCTGTCAGTTCGTTATTAGATGGTATCCAAATTCTTCTCCCCCCCCATTAATGATTAAACCCACAAATCCCATAAAATAAACACTCTCTATTATATTACTTATAGTTTTAAGGTTCAACATGAAAACGCTTCAATGGAAACTGATTAGAGAAAATGATAAATAAATTAAATGATCATAAGAAAGAGCAACTTTAGTCAACACAAAATCTAAGGAGGGTCAAAGGATTACAGAAATATATTGTTTGCTAGTACAGGGACATTGCAGCACAAAATGGTCCCTTGATGATTGCAACCAGAGATGCCTGCTGGTATCACAGTGGAAGACGAAACATTCGGATGTTCTATGATAAAAAACCTAAAATTGTCTTGCAAAAACTGTGTTAACCAACATTTTGTAGCCTTACAGTATGATTAATAAGCCGGATTGGCATCCGATGAGGTTAAAGAACTAATCCAGCTGAAAAACTAAAAGGCTACTGGTGTCTCAAAACATCCCTGATGACAAAGGAAAAGATGCAATGCAAAAAGACCTGTTTGGTATTGCTTGACTACTGAGTTGATTCCTTTCCTCCTTTTCCTCTGCAAAAAAGATTGATAAGAATCCCCATTTTCGTCGAGCACAAGTAGAAGCTTCTTATCTGACCTTGATCCGAAACACCGATGATTTTGGAAGATGGCTGACATGAAAAAGAACCCAACTGCCTTGCGTCGGGAAGAAGAATACCCAAATATGGGTCAAATAACCATGCCAACCACAAGAAACACGAGCTTTCATGTTCCAAAGAGAGTAGATGAATCTTATCAGCAGAATCTAATAGGTAACCTCCTATAATTGAACAACCTGATCATGCCGCTGCAGCTTCCAGTTACAATAAGCAAACGTGATGTGGCTACAAGAGACTCGGATTCTTGATATCTCTGACAAAGGTGATGCATATGGTTGTGATTAACTCGTTTAGAAGGTACGGGAATTACAGGAAGTTTCTCCTCTGGCCACGTCGCTGAAGCTCTTGAAGTACCACCAGCAGAGAAACAGGAACGAAGAGAAAAGAAATCTCGGTGCTGGCACTGACTGACTGACTTTGGAAAATGTTCAAATGGGGCAGAAGAATGTATGCTGGTGTTGTATGAATATGCCCCTCTTGTTTCAATGCCAGGCCATGGAACTGCAACTGTCACTCCTTCAGTAAAGAAACCTTCACAAGGATATATTGACTCCACACCCTTTGACAATGGAATGGCTGAGCTACTGTAGTCCCTGATGCAGATATTGGAGTTTTCATCAATGGAAACAATGTATCTTGCATCAGATGTAAATGACGCAGCCACATAACTCTTTGATTTCCAGGAACCTGCATTATTACATCAAGATAATTAACTTCATGGAAGAGAAGAATAAGATATAATATGATGGCTAATTTTGGTAGCACAAATATATTTTTACCATGCACTAGCAATACTGGTAAGGGGTTAAAAAATCTAATAAAAAAATCATGTGAAAATTGTCTTCAATAATCATAACAATTTGATAATAATGATCGACAAATGACAGTCTACATTAGCTGTTGTGATTTGCACTTTTCACTGATTTACAACACGCTATATTAGTATCAGTGCCTACCAGTGAGATTCCCATGAGTTAGTTAGATCATGTTAATTAATAGAAAAGTCAAACATAATTCCAAATTTGAAGCTTCTCAAAGGATATAAATTTAATCAATTTAAATACATAAGGGCATAATCAAAAGATAATTCATCTAACCACTAGGACTTAAATATTGGCCCATATTCTACAAATTATTAGGAAAAAAAAAGTGTTTCTGAATCAATTATTTTGACTTTCACCACTTAACCCTCTATTTCTGGAATTCTGGGTTTTTCTTTCTTGGAGAAGAGAGTGAGGAAAAGAGCCTTCTCAAGAAATTCTATTCCAATAGCTTGGAATTGTTGGAAACAAGATAAGTCATCTATTTACATTGTAGGCGCATTTACGCTTTTTTCTTAGTTCCATATCCAAAATTTGGAGCTCCCTCATTATGCAATAATCTGAGTCATGTATATGCACTATGTATATTTTAAATTTCTTTCAGTAACGATATCATAGTAGAATAATATACAATAAAGCTACCAGGAATCAAATGATTAATGGAACAGTAATTTTGTGCTGGGTGTTATAGATCAGTGAAGAACATGACTAATTTTTGTTTCACCTGAAAGGATCAACATCATGGCAAAACAACTAAAACCACAATATAAATTTATTTCACTATGAATCAGTTAGCCATAAATTAAAAGCCATCTTCCGAATGGCACACAATTTACCAGAGAAGAAAGAGAAATCCCCCAAGAAGCTTGCCACAGCAAAATGAGATATATATTGCAGTCATTAATTTTAGATAATGCTAAACAAATTTCAAAAAGCGAAAATATCATGATATCAATGATGAAGGAAAAACATGTTTCACCTCCAAACTTCTGGACAATGTCAAATCCATCAAAAATTCGAATTTTAGAGTGAACTGATGTGATCATGACCTTCTTAGAATCTCCAGGGCAAAACTATTAAAACAAAGAATCATAACTATGGTTAGTAATAGGAAACACTATGCAAAATTATCTCCCAGCTTGTGTCCCACCTGTAAACCAGTTATCTGTTTGCCTATCAACTTCTTTTTACCCCGTATACAAAGTTCTCTCTCCAACTGCAGATTGTTGTCTGTAACAAGATAGCATGATAAACTGCAAACTCACAACTCTAAATTATTACAAGAAGCAACTAGATCAAATGACATGATGAACTAAACAAGGTTACAGTTTTTGACATGTTCAGGATGTATGGCTGGGGCAATGCAAAGTACCTGTATAAACATAGAAACGACAGTTTCCTGTAAGAGTGCCAACAACAAATCCCTGTCAAGCAAAGAAGGTGCAGATGATAAGATGACAAAATTTTGATACTAAACGAACCATAATCAAATAGTTGCGAGGAATAACTAAATCGGACTGGAACCTTTCCATCTGTTTGGTAAGATATAGCTGTGATAATATTCCTTGTGTCAGCCCAATCAACAACTCTATTCTCATCAATGCCCCAGATGCGCACTTTTCCATCTATCGAGCCACTGATGAAGTATTGATCATCAACAGGATTGAACTGAATACAGGTCACTGATATCCAAAGAAAATAAGAAAGCATTTGCTTTAGGAACACTGCCCTAAAAGCTTCATATATGAGCTATCAAGTTAAGAGGCCAAAGATTTCAAATGCAGTTGTCACTTGGCTCCGCAACTCTAAATGCTACTATAAAAGATTAACCCAACTTAAAAAGAGATCAACTTGCAGCATCAAAAACTTCTGTAGATTGCAATTGCTCATTCTATGCAGATGCCACATTTTGTAACAACACCGACACATAACAATGCACACCTATTGATGATAGATCTCAGATTCAACTCATTTATTTAAAGAAGAAGTCTAAGATTATGGAGAGGCTAGAATTTCAGAGGGTACCACAATCATTGTGATGGAAAACTTTAATGCAGCTTTCACAACCAACTTTCCACATTCGAACAGTTTTGTCCTTTGATGCTGAAAGCAGACACTGGAGTCACCAATTTAAGCATGTATCATCAAATATATACTCAAATTGCTTTATTTAAAAAAAATTAGCACGTTTGAGAACAAAACAATAATACAGTTATGTCATTAAACAATGAAGTGGTGATCATTTGTGCCCAAAGGACATGAATGCTGCAAAGTAAACAAACAACAGGTGCATTAAAACTGAAAGTAAAAGTAAAACTTACATCAGACTTTGACCATGAAAGGTCCAAAATATCACTGGTATGCCCAAAATATTCATGCAGTGGAACTTTCTCTAACTTAAGAATCTCATCTGGACTAACAAAAGAAGCACAACTAAAGCCCTTTCTTCTGAATTTGGACTTCGTGTCATGCAAACTAGAGGAACCATCTGCAACAAGACAATTGTGAGATGCTTCAACTTCTCTAAAACGCCAGATCCTAACAACACAATCTTCACCACCAGTAGCTAGATATGTCCCACATGGACTGAACTTCATGGTCCTAATCAAACTCTTATGAGCAACAATTTCCTGTACCATGCAAAAGACTCTGATTTCTGTGTTGTTCTTATTCTCATGAATTACTTTTTTCATCAGCATCTTAGGAAATTCTGAATTTCCTGTTACAGCATATTTTATGTATGTGCCCCCAGCACTCATCTTTGACGTCAATCTTCTCCACCATCTTCTGCTTAGTTTTTTGTCTTCAATGAGAGTCCTATCTCTTCTCGTTCCATTGGGTCTAGTTTCTTCCCCCAAGAATGGTTGAACAACTTGTGACCCTACATAAGTCTCAATTTCTTGCCATGACGTCGTTCTGTTGGAATCAACTTCATTAAGCATGGCAATGGAACCATTTTGACCAAGGTTTTGGACTACAATGTTCTTTTCTGTAACCAAAGCCCCTAACGAACAAGTAGAATCATCATTTCCACCATAAGCAGGTGATAATAAAGAGTCCACATTCATTTCCAGGTCTATCTGCTCTAAAGGAACAGTATGTCTGACTCCTCCTGGTTCTTTTGTGCATCCTAATTTGGATAAGATTAATTTATCAAAGCCTGTTTCACGTAAAAATTTGTTACGTCTTTCGCGAACACTAACAGTTGGCAATTCTTTCATCCAAAACTCATAGGGAAACTTTCTAATCTCAAAATCTGACTCCTGAACCAGATAAGATCCAGATGATTCAGGATCAAAAGAGGTACAAAAGTAATCAAGTGAGTCAAAGAACACATCTTCTCCCTCATTCAGCTCAATGCTTCTAATACAAGTGCAACCACAAATCTCATTCACCATGTTTAAAACTCTTCACAGCACAGTATGGATTCGATGAACTTGTGTAGTTGATAACCCAACTTCATGTGCCTTTAAAATCTAGCTCCTCCTAACTCAAAATCTGCAGCAAAATGTAACCTATCAAAACCAAAAGCATAAAGATCAGCGTATCAATCGAGAACAAAGAAAGTCATATCCCAAAAAATAGTGTTAACACTTAAGCTGGAAAGGTTCAGAAAGATTGAAATAATAAGGGGCAGATAAATTGAAGAAAAAATAATAACATTCAGAGTGTTAAAATTCCCTATTTCATGAAACTTAATCAACAGACAGTATATTTCCATCGGACATTACTTAGTTCATTAGTATTATACACAATACATGCTAATCTCTTCCAAATGATTTCAAGCCATATAGAGTTTCCAACAAGAACAATAACTACACAGATACAAAAATAAGAAGGCTAATGAATACAACAGATACAAATCGAGAAAGGATTACCAGATATTCATCTTTGATCCGTAACAAACATTTTTTCAGTTAATTAAAGAAAAATTCAATGGGTGTTCACAGAAGCTAGGAATAGGAATTCTCCATGGCTGTTCATTTTCTCGCCCTCTGCCACTCGATCTCTACTCCAATTCGAAGCCACAACCAAATACTGGGCGGAAAGATCGAAACTTTCACAAAAACATAGGCTAAAGATGCAATTTTTCGTCCCAACACACCTCGAAATCCACAAACTGAAAATAAGACGCAGGGAATCGCAGTTGGAACAACTTTCTCCTTCCAAAAAACCATCCCTGCCCGAAGCTTCCTACCCAAATCCGCCACTTCCTCCAACGTCGAGTGTCTCCGATCGAACGAAGAAGCAGGAGCAGCGAGCAAGCACGCACAACTTTCGAAGCGCCGCCGTCCCTGCAGCCATCGCCTCTTTTTCGGTCTCTACTCCAAGAAAGTAAACAGAACCAAACCTAAACCGTCGCGCGAGAAAGTGAGCGGCGGCTCGACTACGTCCACTAAATCGTGGTGTCTTTGGGTGCTTCAAGATCCGCGACCGCACGGATCACGAGATCAATAAACGGCTCAGTGAAGACCGATGCCCAAAGATCGCGTTAATTGTGTTCTTGCCATAGTCTTTCTTCAGTCATTACGTATTAATGTGCGTAAGCCACAAAACGACAGCGAGAAGTATTGGAATCCTGAAAGCATATCAAAGCAATAAGCTGCAGAAGATTGTGGAGGAATCGCAAACCTCCGCAGAACAAAAGGGAAAGCGCCAGGAGATGCTGAGACGACAAGGAGAGTGGTAGTTGACTTGCTGCAGACTCTGAGAGGCCGTGCATGGTGGACAGAGTCGAAGAAGGAACTCGGCAGACTCCTGAGGAAGAAGAAGACACGGTGGCTGTGCTATTGTGTTGGCAAACTGGCTTGCAGAAACTAGTCCTACTAATAAAGCTAAGGGGAGGCGTTCACCCTCCATTATTAGAAGGAAGGCGAACCTGGACGCTGCTCCCGGGGCCATATCTTAACTACTGCTGCATTGCTTTGATTTCCAAAAGGTTAGTGGCAGCATTTAGAATTGCATTACTTAGCTTGCACGCCAAATGCTTGTAGAAAAGGCTGCTAGACAATGACAGGAAGCTCTTGGCTTGCTCCCAGGATCTAGGCCTCGTGCACTACTTTTATAAGAGCCTGTGCAGTTTGCTAGGCTTGACTCGCCATTAACTATTAGTCTCTGACCTAATCCACTTGCCTCATTGCTTCTGATATAGTGGTTGAGTGGCCTTGAATTTGACTTACTCTTTCTTGGAGACAGAATCAGGTGTGATGCCTGACTTTTAGACATCAAAAACACATCATAAAACTGCATGAGTGTGGATTAGAGCATCAGAATTAGTGTCCATAAAGAATATTCATTACTGTTCTTTGCATTTTGGGAGGGCATTGAAGTAATAGGCATTCCTGGATTTTTGTGGTTGGTGCTGTCTTCTACATCTTAACCAAGGTAGCTGCTGGTTACTGATTGATGGACGTGGACTCTGCCAGACCACATTCTTTCCACAGAATATTCTAGTTCTCGGTCCTTGATCCTGGGTGAGTTCTTTTTCTCTTCACCTTCTTATAGAAGACTTTGCACAAGTCGTTGACCACATAAAGGATACCACTTATCTGTAGTAGTCCAAAATGAAGCATGACTGTTTACATAGATCTGTCAAAGTTGGTCTCTAGATCCTGCACTAAAAGGTGCATCATCCACTTGTAGCAACCTCATTCTTTTAGTTGATATCAAGGATCTTTCAACTGGTCTAATGTTCACGCACTAGTTTTAGAGCTTCAGGAAGGAATAGGGAGAAGGATAATTGTTTCAAATGTTTAAACATGCAGAAAACAAATATTTAAATGACAAAAGAGAGTCATTTTGATCTACAATTTCTGAAGTTAAGATTGACATTTGGAACTGTTTAGCTTGAACTTTAAAACTAAATTAAAAGTAAAGCTGATGTTGGGTCTTTTTGAGTTACCATACATTTTAGGTGCTGAAGGTAGTGATATTGATGCTGTTTTACCTTTTCTTTATTTTCTCTGTTTTATATTAAGTTGATTCTGAATGTAATCTTGGTGGATATGCAGAACCTTTATTTTGTTGTGTTACATGCTATAATTGATGAGCCATGTGCTCAACAGTTGCTGGGAAGATACTATGGCTTTGTGCCAGTTGTTTTGGATCATTTGCTCCATTGTTTATCAGAAATAAAATTCATCTTCCTAACAAAAAATGTATACAGAAAAAGAGGTTAGATGGGAGAATTCATTATGGGAGAATTAGAAGAAATAATGCTATTTGTGTTGAATTTCTAATTCTAACAAATAAGATTATCTGCATGATCAAAATCCTGCCCGAGGGTAATAAACGTTAGGAAGTATTGGTCATAGTATTCTAACTGTAATTTCACATCATTCAGCATATCTTCATAATTAATTAGGAACAAGAGAGAAAATCCTGCTGTTGTTATGAATTCACAAATCCTTGACTAAATCTGGACGTCTATCACAATAAAGCAATGACAGGTCAGTTTGGTTCATGAATAGATACCGATAGAATGGTGAAATCATTCCATAATCATAATTAGTTATAGTTTTCTTATTTAATTGAGAATATCATAAAAATAATATTGATCCCTTTTTTTCTCTCGAATAGGATAAGTAGAATAGCTTCTCTCATTTGATAGGGAACAGTGCAAGCAATGTTAAATCGACAACTTGTAGCTCTGCACCTTGTCCACAAATATGTTGGATTAAAGTATGAGAGCAGGGGGAGCAGTACCAACTTGATTGGGACTTTAAGAGATTGTCCAATTGGAATTCAAATCTGTAACATTTTGTAGAAGTGAATTTTTCAGATGATGTTTTGACCATTTTTTACTTCTTGAATCTTGGAAAAAGAGTTACATTTAGAAAGTGAAAGAGAACTCCTAAATGGACACTGATGAAATTTCATGGGTAAATGCATGCTATTTGTGTTTATGAAATTAGATTCTTTTCACATTACTGACTTTATTGTGTTCAAATTATTTGTTTTCACTTGAAAGATTGAGACTTCAGTATGTTCACTTCCCCAGAAAAAAAGCCTCAATTCTGTTTTCTTATTAGTTTAGAAACATCAACACATAAACGGTGTTAACAAAATCACTCAGATAAGTACAACATATGTTTACCGACATACAAAAAAATGTTTCTCTGATGCTAAGACTCATTCTCATATTGTAATGTTACCGCTTTTGAGCCTCATTAGCTTTTTTATAACATCAAAAGTGGAACCTCATAGCTTGACAGATTATTATAATAGAATACCTGTACTCATCTACTTGTTGCAGGTTCCATTACATGTTGTTTCACTAAGCAAAATTATGAGAGGAGAAATCCTTTAAAACCTAAAACCTACCACTAGTCTCATTAAGAAAACTTCTTGGCCCAAATCTGCCAGTATGGGGATTAATTCTGCCAGAGACAATGCCTTCCCTCTTGTATGATTTGTACCAAACTAGACTTCCCTGAATAATATAGCCTGCAATGTCACAGGAAAAGGGGAAGAAAGTGCATGGCCAGCTAGACATGGATTAAAGTCAACTGAAGTTGATATCTTCTAAGCCTGATGAGTGAAGCTTCAGAACTTCTAAGACATCATTAATTAGGATGGATGCACATAAAGTATAATGCAAGCTTCCTTCAAATGAAATCAAATTGTCAAATTAAGTTTGTAACTTGTAACCCATCTGCAATCCCTTTCAATTTTTTTTTTTTACTACAATCTGGGAGCTTGTACTGATTCTTTTATTCATGTTGATCCATCTAAAAGCTTAAGCTGATAGATGAGATGGGATCTTTTCATTTATATTTCGGACACAGGACAAACTCAGCTTATGAAGAAATATAAATGTCAGAAAATTTTAGGTGATGATTAATATGAAATGCTGAATTGTTCTTTTGTAGGTTTTTTGTTATTGTTAGACTTCAGTTCTTCTCCATGCATCCTTTACATGCTAACTTCTCTTACCACAGATTATGATTGCTGTATGCAATCTGGACATCAAAGTTGATGATGCAGATATAATTTCCAATACATTTTAACAATTTCTTTGGAAATATTTTGCATATTTGAAGCATGGAACCCTTTATTTAAAATCCCAAAGGTTATATCCTGATTTCCGAATAGTCTCATGTTTGATGTGAATTACAACTCCATTTATGATAGTCATTAGATCATTATCCTTTAATGCTTTTAATCAAGGTTCGCCGTACCGTACCGTACCGGCGTTTCGACCCGGGCTCGGTACCGGTACGGTACGGTATACCGCTCGGTACACCCAGGTGTACCGAGCGGTACACTCAGGTGTACCGGGCGGTACAGTCCGGTACGGCAAACCTTGCTTTTAATATCTTTTGTCATAGTTAAATGTTGGAAAAATATTGTATTCAGATATATTAATATTGGATATGCATGAAATGCTGATCATATGGCCGTGTCTAGAAATTTTGAATAGGAACCCAAGTGCAGATATGCATGCATGGTGAAACAGATATATACAAATATTTATGGACATATCTCTTTTTTTTTAATAAAGAAATAGATTTAAATGGATTAACCCATGCAACCTTAGCCATAGTAGGATGGCATCCCAATTCTGTGATCTTATGGATATTTGCTTTTTGATGCTCGATACCAATTAAAAATATTATCATCATTGTTAATTAATAAAAAAAAATCATATTATATATATATATATATATCATAATATAGTCTGATGGGATAACTGGCATATTAACTTAATCACTTAATTATATATTATAATCTTATTAACTCCAAACATAGTTTAAAATCAGACCCTAATATAGTGTATGTGAGACAAAGTCACCACATCATATATAAGATAAATTAAAATTAAACCTTAGCATGGTGCATGTGAGGCATAGTCATCGACATATAAGGAATAGCTCAGTGATGGCTATAGGAACACATATTTTGATTTCGTTCATGAATGATCCTTTTGATTCAAGTCCCTCTTCATGTTCAAAACTAAATTGGCTCTGATATCATTTTATCATAACCCAATGTGTTTCTTGATTCTGTTCACGAATAACTCTTTCCGACTCATGTCTCTTATCATATCAACTATAATACTATTTATCACAATATGATACGATGGGATAACTGACATATTAAATTCGTGAAACTTAAAGTGATAGCTCAAAATGTCTAAACCCAAGTAAACAATAGTATTTGCATTAGACTAACTAAGCGACACAATATATATTTTTTATCATTTAAAAATATTATAATATTTCTTCTAATTAAAATCACCTTTACACTTTTTTTTTTGTTATTTATTTTATATAATTTATATATAAAGAATGTAATATAAGGTAGATGATACCTAATAGACATTAAATTGAGTAACATAAATATAAAAAACTGAAGCGAGGAAAAGCCAATAATAAGTTGTAAATTTATTTTTC